GCTTTAAATTAAAAAAAATAATTAAAAATAACACTTATCTCAAAAAGCGACTAATTCAAAAAAGTGCTATCGAAGGCGGGCGGCTATCATTTAATTAATAATTCATAGAAATCCTCCGCCCGACTTAAATAGCATTATCTAAAATAAGTCGCTTTCGAGGTAAGTATTATTTTTTACGTTTGAAGTCGGTTCCATTTTTTATTCTACTGATCGTTTAATCTTTTATCTTGCAGTTTGCCTCCGACCGAGACGGAGTGACCGTCCCCCTCCGACCGGATGTCCTTCCCGAAAACTAAATTTCGACTCGTTCGATTAGCCCCCGTTATATTTGACCTAACCTCCCGAGGGATTGTAATGTCGTTAGCGTTAAACGACGCCGCGTTACGTACGAGCCATCGTATGAAAACGCATGAGCGGGTTCGAGCGCTGTCCCCCCCCCCCCCCCCCCCCCCCTCCCTCCGCGATGGATCTGCTTATTGTGATATTTACAAGCGACTATTTTTAATTGTTCCAAAGTCTTACGAGCCTCGTCTTCTAGTTAATGAGTAAATTAGTTGGTTATATTGCCACTTGTATACTTATGTATTTTCTAAGAACAGAATTGTGATAAAATTATTTGTATAAGTACTCGAAGAATATATTTAAGCGATTAATGAACTCCTCGTTGTTGGTGCGGGTCCAATATAATCGAACGACGCTCCGGACGGATGGCGAATGTTATTTATTATGTATAATGAACGATACTCCTGACGCTTTCATAGCAATTGTTACTTTGTAATATCTAGATGTATAAGTTTCTGACGACGCGGCTGTGTTCCGCCGTCAAACGCTTTTACTTCACATATTTTTGTTTGTTTCATTTAACGAACTTTGCTGTTTTTTTCATATCAAAATTACGTCTAGCTCGAGGTTCGAGCCTCGAGCTATTGCCCTACACCAGGGGTGGCCAACTTGTTTAGACCCAAGATCGACTTTTCACTGACGACACCCAGTACGACCTACCAATTACTTTACTTCTTAAAATTTTAAATGAATAAGCATAGTTCGTACACAATTATTTAGCATTTTGATTTTATTTATATTTTTTGAATTGCCACGATCGACTCGACTAATAGTCGCGATCGACTGGTTGGCCACCCGTGCCCTACACCTAGGGTTGCCAGATGGTCGGGATTCGTCTGGATTGTCCAGACATTTGGTATAATGTCCAGAGTCCCGAAAAAATACAAATATGTCCCGACAAAATTGTTAGATTCTGTAAAATCGATTTACAAGTATAAAAAAATAAATAACAAACATATCATAAAAATATAATAAGGAGGTATATTAGCTGTTTAATTGTTATAAGTGCATTTCTTACTAGTACTTTTTGTCCCGACTGTGATCCCAAAATCCCGACTTTTTCAAATTTTGTCCAGATATTTTAGTCTCGTTATCTGGCACCAAACACCAAAGCCAACGGTTCAAATACGATGACATTATCGTTTATATCAAAAACATTACCATTTATCAAGTTGAGCGAGTCGTCCTCGTAAACTGATTGATATGATTTTTGACGTTTCACTTGACTTTTTTCATACGTAAAACGGTCGCAAACTACTCAAAAATGTCTACCAGCTCTTGGTTCGACACGTCAATTTAGATAATGTTAACTTAATTGTGGCGAGTTAATGGCGCTACAATATTAGGTCTTAAAAGTAGACCAAGTTCGTGTTACTAGATCACAAAAAAATAAATTTGTGTAGAAATCATTGTGCCGATAATATTGTGGGATTTAGGAATCTATTCAGTGAGTTCCAACTAACATGGCGCATCGAGAATCTTCGTTTGCGCAGAGCAGCATTAGTTGCAAGTCTTTTCATCTTAAACGAAATTTCGTCTATTGTCGAAACGCTGACGTGACTCCAAATTAACATATTTTTTTTATAATTCATAATGCGACGAAATTGTGACCCTGAGCCCGCGTCTGATGCGCAGATTAATCTTCACTATGACGATTTTAACGAAATAATAACATTTGGAAATTTCGTCCATCCATAAACCGAGTATTTCTAAAACTTCCTACGATGACTGGATGTCCGATTACAATTTATAATAAATCTTATTATATAATATCGCAAAAGATGCAAAATACAACTTAGATATTATTAGGTGTTCGTCTCACTTACACTCAGCTGGGTTCAGGCACGTGGACACTTGAGGCGAGTCAAAGGAAGTTAATATTGAGAATAATAGATACAAAGTAGTATATCGAATATGTCGGATATTATTATTCCATTTCAATATTGCCTGTAATAGTATGTAATCACTGCATTTAAGCTCGCCATAGACGTTGTTTATTTAACAAAAGTGCCAATTACTTAGGTCGACAATAACGTAACTTGAGGCAGCCTTATTAGTATTAAAAGTTTTAACGAAAGTTTGTCATAATAATGAACAAAATGTACTACTAAAAACATTAATATTTTTATATAGATTTTTTAAACGATTGATATTTGATTGATGTTAGTTTTGTCGTGTGTATACATTGCGATGATGTAACACTTTATGTTGACTGCTATTCGGTTGTGAAGGCAGTTGCTGAAAGTATTATGGCGACTGCTTCTTTTTTGTTTTCATTTTCTTTTAATATGCTGTGTGTTTACTGTTTTCAGCACTTGTCTGAACAATGATAATATATGTTATTATCATTTATAACTTGACGTATTCTCTGTTTAGTAGCTATTACTTATATAATATTGTATTGTGGTGGATCTACACAGGCCGACAGCAGTGCCCCCAGCTCGATCGTGACATCAGCGAAATAATCAAAGGTCGCCACCGTCGAGCGTAGCTGTAAATTAGTTTTATCGATAATAAGTCTGCCCAACAGGACTGCCCAATGTTCATCTTTTACTATTGCAGATAGAATTTATGGTTCTACATTTTTTATAGCAACAGGATTTCATGGATTACATGTAATTAATTATTGGGACTAAATTTTTATTTATTTGCTTAATCCGCCACCTAAAAAATCACTTCTCTAAAAACCATCACTTCGGATTTGAGGCAGCAGCTTGATATAAACAAACGACAATAGCACTTTAATTGAAAGGCTATTTCAGTTGCAGTTTATTGTGGCCAGACTCGCATCACGTGTTGTGTGGACCCACCATCAGTTAGTTGTATGTCTAGGATAGTGTAATTTAGTTCATATACGGCAGTGGTTCTTAGGCGTTATCACCCCGGGGTAACGGGGTAAAAGAACAATGAAACAGTCACAACGTGGAACATTAGTTAAGTGAAACTAACACATTCAAAAAGTGGATATAAAATTAGTTTTCTTAATAAGTAGCACCTACCACAGCCTGGGAACCACTGGTCTGCATCATTATAAGTTATAGGAATTAGTGCCTTACGCTCGAGACTAGAGTGCACAATGATGTTTTGTTACCATGTTGTTGACTTAATAAATAAATGCCGTTTGTTATTTTAAATATGTTTTATTATTTTATGAATTCACTTTAAAACTCTTTATGTCTAACTAATAATTGTATCGATCCAATAATCGTTTCGGTACATCAGAGGTGGCGCAGATAAATAAGGTACTTATCATATTATGTTTTTGATGAACATTGAACTTTTTCTGTAACCGTGCACCATTATGTATATAAGTCGCGTATCAGCGCGCCTCAGTTTTATTTTAATTACGTCTAAGTTATATTCCATAGACGAGGCCACTGGCACAATAAACTTAAACGGTAAGTCTTCAAAATGTACTCAATTTTTAAAGAAGAAAAGAATCCGAATAGCCGTGTATCATGAACAAAAGAACGCTACTTTAAACTTTGTACTTCTGCTACGTAATTCAGAGTTACTGATTTTCCTCGCATATATTGTTGTACACGTAAAACTAGTGGCAATTCAGGTTACACGGCGGTATTATTTTCCAATTGAGAATTTTGGGCGGCAATCGTGTTTTATTATCTATATATATAAAAATGAATCGCAAAATGTGTTGGTAAGCGCATAACTCAACAACGCCTCGACCAATTTGGCCAAATCTTTTTTTAAAATGTTCGTTGAAGTTCAAGGATGGTTTTTACGGCGAGAAAAATTAGAATTATTGCTGGAAAAACCCTAAAAATAGCCCTTTTCTTTTTCCCATACAAATGATTTGTAACTAAAACGTAGTCAATTTGAGCTTTATTGCTATGGTATAAAGTTCATATTAAATTACAAGCACTCACTGTTGTCTAAGCAATGTAGGTGTGTTCCTAACGTCAAAGATCATATCTATCAAAACAATGTGCGTGTGTGCGTTGGAGCACAGAATACATAGTTGGAGGAGTTTAATGTCGCGTTCCGAAACTCGCGTTTCTTTTGTATTAGTTTCGGCACGCGAGATAAAATGCATCAGTTTCCACGTCATTACATGTATTGCCGGAACATTGATGAAAATACGCTCTGTAGTAGCAAAGCTGTTGGGTCCTAGATAGCTCATTGGTTAGAGCAGTCCCTGGATCGCGAATGGGTTCGAGTCCCATTCCGGGGTACAGGTAGATGGATTCTTCCAGCATTTTTCCTTGAGAATGTTTATATATTTTTTTAATTCGAATAGTTTACTTTTATAATGCTGTTGTGTGTAATGTGTTTTTATGATCATAAAAATCTCTTTTTTCTATATTTAATACTATTACTATTAATACATTGCAATAATAATTATGATTCACATGATTAACAATAAAGCGATTACTTACTTTTAAATCCTTATATATGTTTTATTTAATTATTTTTTATTCACAACGCCCTATCACCAGGGTGACGGTTCTGTTCAGGAGAATTTTTTTAAATACGTAGGCAAAAAAACTGCCACATTACAAATCTTTTTGACAGGACGAAGTCTGTCGGGTCAGCTAGTTATAAATAAAATACAAAGTATGTGCACTGTTAAAGAAAAACCCTGTGTTAATAAAGATAAATAATGTTGTTTTAATGATATAAAAAAAAATGCATTAATTCAGAGTGATAAAAAAACTTATTATTCATAATATTTTATTTACATAGCATAGCACAGTCTTTACATATTTCTTTTACGATTTCATCAAAGTCATTCATATTATGTCTAATCTTTATTTACTCCTCAATTCTATATCAAATATAGTAGGGCCCTAAAGAATCGTAAAGGCGACAGAGGTTTATCTCAATCAGATAAAAACCCACCAGTATGTTCCAGACAGATGTTTTGAGTCCATATTTTCCTATTTTAATATTGCTCATGTTCAAACTATTGTATGTGCTATGGACACGTGGCGTTGCGCGTGACAATAGTCTGTATGCAGCCACAGCAAAAATCTAACAGCATAAATAAATTTATCAGCCTTGTATTAACTAGCTTACTGATGCTGCAGTGATGAATGCCTTATGCACTCATTAACAATTTTTTTCTAAAGAAAAATAATTAAAGGCCCCAGGATCCTGGCACAATAACGGTTCCAATTTTGTTTTATTAGAGCATTTGACTAAAATTGCCCTTTCAGCCCTTTCGAGGTTCAACTGTTTGCAGTGAAGTTACGATACTGATTCTTACTACTTATTTATAATCACAAATGCTTATTGCAATAACAATCACGTCAAGAGCTGAGAAAAAGTGGAAAAATAATAAAATAAGTAATAACCAATAGTTAGGTGATTTCTTGTAAATTAAGGAAACTCATTGTTTTAATTCATTGTGAAGCAGCACAAAATCATTTTCACTTACTCAGGTGCAAAATCACTGTTTTCATAATAAATTACAACTATTGGGATGACGACAATTTTTTTGTATGTCCGGCAGGTAGATTGTTGAAAAATATTAAACACATATTTTTTGTATATTTTCAGTTAAAATGTCATATGATGTCACCCTTTCGTTCAATTTCTACTAAACTGTGAAGTAACACCTGTTATCTAAGCTATTTCTTGTTAAATTGAAGAATAAAGAAATACGTATCAAAAAATTTTCTACCAACTGATTGACGGCCTAAATAAAATTTTCTTTTTTTTGCCCAGTCGTCACCCCTATTTGTTGCACAACAGTGCATTGCAAAATTCCTCATTTATGCGTTGGACACAACAAATTTAGTTTTTCCAGAAGTTCGGATTCTGCTGCAACCGTCGCTCAAAGTTTTGATACCATGTGTGGAGAGTGTTGAGAGGGATGTACAAGACTCCTGGAGTGGGTGTCATTTGCTCTTGAGTCACCGAAAATGATGCCACAAAATTCACCAAATTCTCTAACATTTTCTGGGCGAATGTGATATAAGAGTTAGTAGTCTCCGAGGCCTGGAAATTCAAGACATATATATATATATATATATACTGTTCATAATCGAGATACTGTTCAAAAAACATGATGAATTCTTCAAGGTTCCTGTTTAGTGATGTCAATATTATATAAAAGGTTTCATAGTTCATTTATCAAAGTGAATTTTTAACTAACACTTAATGGCTTGTTTTTTAAAACGCTTGTATATTATAAAAAAAGCATCATGTACATTGTACATCATGAAACTAGAGTGTAAGTCACTGTGCTATGGTGTACCTAAATAATTGTACTGGTTATATTTTATTTATTCATCATTGAGTGGTCAATTTTCAAAACCAGCTAAAGTTACCTAATAAGCAGTGGTCGGAATTAGGTAGAGTTATTCATGTACTTACACTGATTTCATACAGCGAAAGAATAAAGTGGATATGCCTCAAATACCGAGATTAATTTTAAAGAGCAGAAAAAATCCTGTGACTTTTTAAATAAAAAGTTATTTACTTTTACACAATTTAAACTACTGCACGCACAACGTTGCCAAACTTACATCAATGGCATCGGATGTCCAAAGTTGCAAAATACCAATACGCGCGATGTTGCCACGAAGGTCCACATTAATATCAACATTTCAATGCAAGTACATAAATAACTCTACCTAATTCTGACCTCTGCTAATAAGAAACACTATTAAAACATTTTTTTATTTAAATTTTCAAAATTATTTACTTTTAACAAAAATAAAAATTTTACTGGTTTTGATGTGAAATATTTGTTGATGTTGTAATGGACAGGTTGTTTTGATGGGTTTTGTTTAGATCTTTTTTTTTGTATGGATGATTTTGTTCTCCTCAAAGTTGCATATACTATTTTATTCATTTTGCTCAAAATTAAAATTTTTAATGGTTGATTACCCAATTATTAAATGATTAGAATTTTTAAGGTCTATGCAAAGATCTCATTTTCTATGTATGCACCATACTATTTAAAGCATCACATTTTACAAATGCCATACTCTAATTGGCTCTCCCAGTTAGCAGTTAGAAATAAACATAAATTTAGTAACAAAGCGTTTCTAAAGTTTTCATGAAAATGATTGGTAAATTTAAAAAAGAAACGCATATAGTATTTTTAACAATGTTAACTATTTTCACGAAGCATGTTTTGTGAGGTGTGAAAGTAGACCACTCAGTTAATATTACATATATGGTATAACAGAGCTCAACAAAATATATTACTCACCACTGAAGAAGCAAGAAGCTGTACATTTTCCTCTGGTTCTATAGATATACCAATTTGTGCATTGTGACAAATTTGTTGTTGACCAAAGGCACTGCTGAACTTGTTCTCATCTGAAATACCAACACATTGAGATATTCAGATGACGACCAAGGCATGAACATTCAATTCTATCTCAGATGTAACATTAAAAATGTGTGATGACTAATAATAATTTCAGGTTATTTATTAGCTTACTAGGAAGTTCATGTAGTTTCTTTAAATTGCCAATTTTGAATATGGCCGAAGGTTTGGCATTCGAAATGTGTCCAAGCAGCTGCCAATTAGGTGGCGCAGAGGGATCTGGCCAGCTCCAGTACACCATGCCAGCCGTGCCCGCCGGCAGTGGTGTTACTCCTGTCAAAAATACCGCCGCGTGGTTGATTGCATCGGCCTCCGGTATAGTCACTAGGAATTGCGTCTCCGAAAGTGGCATGAAATCGGTCTGCACCTGTACAATAAGCCCCAATTAGCAATAGATAGAAAGTGTAATTCTATACAGTCTGCACTTTCACTGTTTCGGTTTAACGAAAGATGACTTACCAGTCTTCCCGATACTAATAATCCAAATACGTTGGACATTATAAAAAATATTTAGAACACACCTAATTTTAATCTTTCTAGTATTTAGTAATTTAAAAACATCACGAGAAATACAACATAACCTCTACATAGAGAATATTCTAGTCGCCTCTGTTGTGTTTTGGTTTGGAACAAAGAGTAATTTCCCAAATAAGAAAAGTCTGAAGAGTAGAGTAGTGTATACATACTCGGAATATCAAAAATAATCGGTAATTTCATAAATCGCTTATGTTTCTTAAACTTCAGTTAATCGACTTGTTGACTTAGATTAATAGCTAATTTAAAAAACATTTACTTCCTAAAAAAAGTCCACTCCGTTCTTTTGCAAGGCTTGTGAAAATAGGGTATTTGACAAAATCGAAAATAAGTTGCATTTTGTGGTCATCCTGATAGATAATAATCTAATAAAGCTTATTTCTTAACATCTGCAGAAAAAACATGTTTAGATTTAGTAAAATAACGTAAAGAAAATGCAATATTTTTAGGAATTTATTCAATGACGAAAACGTTCTATAATTGGTCGTCGTCACAACCAATTATGAATCTGTTTACTGGCCTGTGACGTCATAGCTGTCATGTCAAAGTAGTGTTAGAAAGATACATAAAATATCGATGCCTGTAGGTATCGAGTACTTTATAGTAATTTACTGATAACAGAATACTTGGCCGCTTCTACTGATAAGAACTGCCAAAAATAAATACAGAAAGAAAGAATCATTTACGCTTAGTTTAAAAAATCCAAGAAATAGGGAAAACGCCAGCAATTTGAAAAAAGAGCAACATACATGTTATTCTCATTTTTTGAACTTTAATTTAATAATTCAAAATTACAAAGTCGATTTTGATGATATATACTGTTCGCAAAGTTAAAAACTAATTTAAAAAAATCATCGGGGTCTGATATCTAATTATCAAATGGCATGCATTTAGTGAACAGACTACACGCTACTACTAAAAAAATAGAACATTCTTTATCGTACTAATGTCTCATCCATCTGTAGGTCGACAGGCTGTTAAGTGCGAGCCCTGTCAACAATTATAAATGAGTCATAAGATGTTTATGACAGAAAAAAAACAAAAAGAAAACCTTCAAACGTATCGATATGAAATAAAAAAGTTTCAATACTTTTAGCGAATCCTTACCTAATTTTATCACCCATCTATACTCTATATAGCTACTATACTATTGTGATTGTGAATCTATTTTCTTCTAGACTCGAAGTTTGTTTGTTATTTATAGAAGTATTAGTACATTGTGGCACTACGCACCACTTGTGGCTCATTTTTTAAAGAAAACCGGAGCAGTGGAAAATAAAAAACGTAAAAAATAAGCACTACGATTTCAATTTCCCATCTAAATTATTATCTCAATTTACTCTAAAGACAGTTGTTACTTATCGATTTGACATATTTACTGGCCTGTGACGTCACGATCAGCGCCATTACATAGAGCAGCGTTTTTCGCGCGCTTTTGGCTATTTAAATTTTAACAATTATTTTCACCAAAAATAGAAAAGATTCCAATGAAATATTATGATAGTGTATTTATAATATAGCAAACAACGATTTAAAATAGTTTTCAGAAAAGTGTCAAATACCCTATTGTCATCAATATCTATGTATTTTTTTATATAGATATGAATGTGTGTGTGTGTGTATGTATATTCGCTTATATTTTTGATATATTATATGTTGTAGTTGGCAATATGTGGATTCATACATATATCTTGGTAAAAAAAATATCTTTTCACAAAAATAATAATATAGATGAAATTAATAGAAGAATAAATATGTCATGGCAAAAGTTCTGGTACCATAAAGAAATACTAAAAGGAAACTTCTCGTTATCTTTAAAAAAGAAAGTTATAGATACTGTTATTCTGCCCTGCCTTACCTATGGATCACAGACCTGGGTGTTTACAGAACAAGCGAAAAATAAAATAAAAATATGCCAGACAGCTATGGAAAGGTCTATTTTAAACATTCGTAGAATATATAAAATTCGAAACACTACTCTCAGATTGAAAACTGATCAAATAGACTTTCTTGAACACTCCATGAAACTAAAATGGAAATGGGCGGGGCATATAGCAAGATTAGAGGACGACCGTTGGACAAAAACCGTGACATTGTGGGAGGGCCCAAAAGGAAAACGAAAACGAGGTAGACCTTACAAATATTGGGCCGATGACATATCGGCGCAGGCAGGAACTCGGTGGTACATTAGGACGAAGGACAGAAAGGAGTGGTCAGGGATGGAGGAGGCCTTTACCCTTATTAGGGATTCTCAATAATAAAAATATCAATGGATATGATCAAAATTGGATAGTGAATAATTATGAAATTCAAGGAAATTTAATTTAATGATATACAAATATAACTTTTTTTCTTAATAAAATTCATACATTATTATAAATGACAAATTAATAATGTATTTGTATTGAATAATGAATAAATTTAAATCCTATATATTTAATCCTATGAAACTGAAATTTGTATGAGAATCAATAAAAGGCTTTTTTATTTTTTTATTTATATGTTGTATTATGTTTATGATTAATTAAGTATTGTTTCTTGTAGTTTTATTGAAACTGATGGCATATTTTTATTACTCTGTATCGCCACCGCATTTGTCAATTTCCCCAAAGTTCGACTGGGAGAGAATGCTATTAGCATTAAGTCCGTCTTTCAAAGTCCGTCAGTCAGTTATTAGTCAATCGCAATAATGTTCAATAAATAAATAAAAGAAACTTATAATGTAGTCATTTAGCGTTTGTTTATTTTTCGTTAAGTTTACAAAATGGCGAAATAAAAAAATATGAAGTAAAATATTTTTATTTAAAAGAAGAATCTACCTAATTAAATAGACACCTCACATATTTAAAGTGTTTTTAAGCAATTAAATATTTTTTCTTAAATAAGGGGTTGTTTGTTATGTTAAGTAATAATAAGTAAAAATGTGAAAATATCGGAAACTGCATAGTTTTGTGATTTAAAGACAAAAACTCGCCTGCCTAAAAAAACTAAAAGAAATTTATATTATGTTATTTATATTCTTAATGAAAAATGCTTAAAAAATCCACTTTGCCCCGTCACTCTGAGATGAGACTCGACTATGACTTTCGCAATCCACATCCGCCATGTTTGATCAAAGAATACTTGGACTGGTAAAACAAAACTAACGATATTTCAATTATGTAAATCTGTTTAGTGGTTCTAAAGATATGTGGTAATAATAGAATATTACATACATAAAAGATACAAACATAACCCTTCTTTTGCAGTTGGATGAAAAATAAAGACTACTTGATTATAATAACGTTTTCTTTATTTTTCCCTCAAAACATGATCCTCGTAAATAAGTTTCAGTTTCATACGTAACTGAGACTGTTACCGAAACTAGTTTTCGGTTTCGATCGAAAAATCTGTTTCGGTCGAACACTAATTCAGAGTGGTAATAATAAGTGTCTAATAATAACTAGCTTTCTGCCAGCGGCTTCGCCCGCGTGGTTCGCTGGTACCTAGTACTCATAGATCTAAACATACGTCCACTTCGCAACGGACCGCGCAGTAGAAATCATAATATTTTAATGTCGCCATAACTTTAAAACCAAACGTCCAATTTTAATCTACATAAACTGTACGTAGACAAAAAAAAATTCAAGATTTTTAAATAAAAAAAAAGGTTGTGCCTCACTCGACATAGATATAGTGTGACGCGGTGTAATCGACAGCAAGAACAGAGGACTGTAGATCGTTTAATAATATGATTTTTAACAGAGAGAAACATTTATTGATCAACGTACAAAGGCAAGATATATTGAGAATACATTGACAAAGTCAAAAAAAAAAAAATAATTAAAAACAAGTATAAAAGCCTCCTTAAAGAGGCCAGTAATAATATTTCAAAAACATGATAAGGCTGTCGGCAACACGCGGAATTTTTAGTAGATATTTATAAGATCTATAATTAATTAGATCGTTTTATGATTCTATCTTATATACTTTAGGCAGCGTACGCAAAGAAGTAACTTTTCTGGTTGATTTTTTACACCTTGTGTTCGAAAAACCCAAATGATTACGGAACCTTATTTTTTTCCAAAATAAAATATAACCTATGTTACTGTATGGATAATGTAGCTTTCGAATGGTGAAAGAATGTTTAAAATCGGTTTTTGAGCCTATTCATTAAAAACAAACATACAAACAAAGTTTTCCTCTTTATAATATTAGTGTAGATAAACAATACAAAATTAAAAAATTTTAATCTCGCAAATGTTATAATTTAAACACAAATTATATTATATTCTTATAAGTAGTATTATTACTAATTGTTGTAAATCATCCATTCATTAATTCTAAATGTATATTAATTTCTTCTCTATAAAATATGTATAATACAGAAGTCGGAGTTAGGTAGAGTTATTCATGTACTTACACTGATTTCATACAGCGAAAGAATAAAGTGGATATGCCTCAAATCCCCAGATTAATTTTAAAGAGCAGAAAAAATCCCGTGTTTTTTTTAAATAAAAAGTTATTTACTTTTACACAATTTAAACTACTGCACGCACGAACGTTGCCAAGCTTACATCAATGACATCGGATGTCCAAAGTTGCAAAATACCAATACGCGCGATGTTGCCACATTTGTAGTTCACACAACAGCTTGTGAGAACAAAAGAATACAAATGCTAATAAAAATTTTATGTTAATTATCTTTGTTTTATTTGTCTATCTCTGTCGTTGTTATTATTATTTAGTTGTAAGATTGTTGGCCACACGTGATTGTCCATTAGAAATCCCGGGAAGGTCCACATTAATATCAACATTTCGATGCAAGTACATAAATAACTCTACCTAATTCTGACCTCTGATAATAATATATTTATTATAATTTGTGATTGTGAAGATTAAGCGATTTTTGCAAAGGCCGGTAATCGAATGGGTGATCTTTTTTATTTGGTTGTGAGAGGTGGAGTGAAACAGGCGCTTACGAATATTGAACGACGTTCACTAAGGCCAGTAATGGTATTGAGACAATAGCTTCAATCCTAGCTTATATATTTAATGAATGTACTGATTGTGGTATTTTTCCTGAGCTCATGAAATATAGTAAAATTATTCCTTTACATAAATCAGGTAGCATACGTGCTACCTACGTTTTTATAACATATATAGGTAGCAAGGCAAGTATATAGGTCTAAAGTTAGTAGAATTGTGAAAAAATCATGCTGGATCAAGTACAAACATACTTTTACAAGAATAATCTTTTGAATCGAAAACAATTTGGTTTTACAAGGGGTCGCTCGACAATCAAAGCCGGTGTCGAGTTAACACAAGAATTTTTTCTGTGAACAAGAGGTGTTTTCTGTGACCTATCTACGGCATGTGATTGTGTTTTTCATGAAACATTGATTAGGAAACTTTATTACTATGGATTTAGAGATAACTGATTGGATTTAATGGTCTCATAATTGAGTGACAGAGTGAAGAGGGTTGATATCAATGGCTAAAGATCCCCTGGATCGAAAGTTAAGATGGGTGTTCCGCGGGGCTTGGTCCTTTCTTGTTTTATACTTGGTCCTTTCTTGTTTTAAATTTACATAAATGACTTGCCTTATTTCGTAAGGGATAATCACGAATAGTTTTCTTTGCGGATGACACTTCAATTTTGTTAAAAATTAAAAGAGGGCTACCTCTAAATGACGATGTGGACAATTCTATCGCTAAAGTAGTACATTGACTTAATGTAAATAATCTACTCCTAAATGAAGGAAAAACAAAATGCCTAAAATTTATACATATAAATGTGAATAAAAAAGATAAGAACATAGGCTATGTGGATATCACAGTATTTTTAGAAATAACATTAGATTCTAAACTACAGTGGGGCCCACATATTGATAGATTATCTAATAGACTTAGCTCTGCAGCATATGCCGTAATGAAGATACGTAGCTTAACTGACATAGATACTACCAGATTAGTATACTTCAGTTACTTTCATAGTGTATTGTCGTACGGAATCCTATTGGGAAATGTTGCCGACATACAAACGACTTTTGTGCTTTAGAAAAGAGCAATTAGATCTTAAGATTAAGATAAGGGATCTTCAAGGGAGTAATTTAAGGAAATAGACATAATGACTGTTGTTTTTTAATGTTCATTCCTAAAAATATTAGTTTGTTTTCTATAAAAAGTGATGTACACAATTTTAATACATGAAATCAAAATTACAAAATTTAATAATGATTATTTTTTAATTATCATTATAGATTTTTAACAGTTGTATTCCAGCCAGACATGGATTAAATGAATACCGGGAAAGTAATTGGGAATTTATTATAAGTACCTACAGTTCTAACTGTAGCCCTGTCGGACTGAGAGGTCAGCTTAGCAGCAGCTCAAAGAATATCGATTATCTCCGAAACTTGACTATTTGTTCCTATTTTGTAACAGAATGATAATCAAGGGACTAGATCAAGGTTTCCAAACTTATTTTGTCTATTGCCCACTTTGAGAATAAATAATTATAAAGTCGTGAAATAGTCGAATTCGAAGTGCGAAGCCTTTATGGCACCCTGTCATAGCTGGAGCGCTGTCCGTAGCAACTGATATAATATTTTTCAAGACATAGGTATCTATTGGATATGCTTTCGCCTTTTGTATCGGTCTCTAAATTTCTAGCAAACAGTAGTTCTTTAGATATATTCTCATCTTTAATAAACCACACGTAAGGCAGCAACAATGCTTCATTAGTTGTTTAAGTGGACTCATTGAGTAGAAATGAGAATTGACTTGTTATAAATATTACGTTGTTTATATAGGATTGCAAAAGCAGCACGCACCGACAGGAATAAAACAAACATGCATAAACTCCTTTATCTCATTCGACGCTTAATCGTACTCATCAAGTACGAACAAATATTATATGAACAAGCCGATTAATACAGGAATGACAATTGGGGTTATTTAATAAAAACTTGTTAAAACATAATTTCCCGCGGTTTACTATCTATTTGTATATTTGTGTCTCTTTTCATTTCGAAACGGAGCGACCGCATGTCATTATTTTTATTTTATATATTCAATAAGACAGGACAGATATATGACTTACGCGGAGAGAATTATCGATCCAAGTTTGAGCAATCTCTTAACTAATATTAGTTGATATTCACAAGTTCTAGTTCATGCAGTCGGTGTCTAAGGAAGAGACCCTAGCTAAATGAAATTACAAATCACCTACCCCCAAGCCCCTACATTAAGCCCCCATTGTTTTCTCGGTCTCTTACCGCCCTCTTTAGGCCTGCAGCTCCCATAAGGGGGCGTTATTGCCTACTTTGGGAAAGGCTGGACTAGATGGAAGAGGTCATTTCTAAACCCAAGGTAGTGGCGCTGCCAGCTGACGGACATCTCTGGATCTGAGTATTATGGTAATTTTGTTGTTTCAGATTTCTCTAATCGAAGTGCCTTTTAGCTACTTCATTTGGCGTTCTAAGGAAGTATGCTACCTACTTCTTTGTATAGAAGATCTTGATACAAATACTTATATGAATGCTATTAACTGTAAATGCACCTATAAAGTAGATAGTAAACATGTTACATAAAAAAGAAAGGACAATAATTCAATAAAGAACAGATTTTATTGGAATTTTATTATGTATGCCAGTCACACATACCACCTTAACGAAATAATTTGTATTATATAATACTATATATTAATATGTCACCACATCCACAAATGATAAAACGGTATTAATAAAATTTTAAATGCAGTTAAAGTCAGAGCTCAACAATAATATACACAAACAGATAAAGACGTGGTTGATAAGTACCACTGCAGCACTGATAAACCGAGTATTCACTGATAAATGGGTACAAACAGAAGTCGACACTCGGTCACGACACAGGTCTGAGTCTATTATTTAACAATTAAATAATATAAATATCAAAATAAATAAAAAAATATAATTTGTGTATTTTTAGGTTCTGGAAGTGTGACTAAAGACAGCAGTTACCATTTATTTGCGATGCATGAATCTAGTTAACAAAGCAGATCTAAGATAAAAACAAGCAATACTATCACTTGATGGGCATGGTGATGGTATGTAAATGATTTATAGATATATACCTACATATAACTAAATATGAAAGTAACATTTCATGCTTCTTCATCAATATAAATCATTAGAAAAATTGATAAGCAGATATTTTAAATGAACAATCTCAAAACTGAACAAGTAAAATCTAGTTATATAGGCAATTCTTCATAAAATTAAGTAAATCCCTACAAGCTCATAAATAATTATGTATATTGCAGACACAGCATCACTATTTCAAAATATGAATATTATATTGGACTCTTACAGTAGCAAAGATATTTTTAATAATGATTGTCAATAACAACTTATAAATAGTTTAACAAAAGAAATAAATATAATAGTTAATATTGAAGACTACAATACAATTAAGGGTGACTACTTAATGGAGCATATTACACAAACATCTTAATATTTCAAATCACTACCAGTGATCCTAAAACATTAACTAACATTAATTATTGTACTGATATATTTATTGTGATGTTTTCAAGCATGCTCATATTTGTCATAACATAAATTAATCTCTCATGTATGGGTAATCAATATCTCTTAGAGGAACAAATGTTTCTTTGATAGACTGTGGTGAAGTCCACCTCATTACATAGTTGGGTCCTCCTGCTTTGTCATTGGTGCCTGACATGCGGCCTCCACCGAACGGCTGCTGACCTACCACTGACCCTGTGGATTTATCATTGATATAGAAATTGCCTGCTGTTGTTTTCAGTACATCCAGTGCCACTTTTAAAAATTCTTTATCTTGAGAAAACACTGCTCCGGTCAAAGCAAATTTTGTTGACTCGCCAACCATATTTAAAGTCTTATGTACATCAGCATCATCATACACATAAACAGTGAGCACGGGTCCAAATATCTCTTCAGTCATCAATTTGTCAAGTGGATCTTCAGTTTGAATAATAGTCGGTTCTACAAAATAGCCTTTACTGTCATCACATTTGCCACCTGCCAAAATCTTGTTCTTAGGGTTGCTTTCTGCTCCTTTGATATAACCTGAGATTCTAGCAAAAGCTTTATCATCTATCACAGCTCCAGTGAAGACACTGAAGTCGCCAGGGTCACCAACCTTAAGCTTATTACATTCTGACAACAACCCATTCTTTATCTGTTCAAACAAAGATTTTGGGACATACATTCTAGAACAAGCAGAGCATTTTTGCCCACAGTATTCAAAGGCAGAGCGGATTGTGCCTGTCACTACTGAGAGCACATCTGCAGAGGGATGTACAAAGTGGTAATTTTTCCCTCCACATTCACCAATTAGTCGAGGATAGTTTCTGTATTTGCTAAGATTTTGTCCAACAGCATTCCAGAGCCAATTAAAAGTAGGAACTGATCCTGTGAAATTAATACCGGCAAGATAAGGAGAAGCAGTGATTGCTTTTCCAAAAGTGGGACCGTCGGCAGGCACAAAGTTAACTACTCCAGGGGGCAAACCGGCCTCCCTCATGATATTGAAAATACGCCAATTTGAAAGTAGAGCAGTGTCAGATGGTTTCCATACAACACCATTCCCCATAAGAGCAGGAGTGTATGCCAAATTACCTCCAATAGCTGTGAAATTGAAAGGGCTGATTGCAGCGATAAATCCATCGATGCCACGAAATCTCAAGGAATTTCTAGTTATTTTAGCATTTTCTGATATGGGTTGGTATTTTGCATTTTCTTTCAGGAAAAATACATTAAATCGGAAAAAGTCAATAAGTTCTGCAGCAGCATCGATCTCCGCTTGTATGACTGATTTAGATTGACCCAGCATAGTCGCAGCATTGAGGCTTTGTCGGTAGGGTCCTGCCATAAGTTCAGCAGCTTTTTGCCAAATACTCACACGCTCTTCTAATGTAGTGCGATCCCACCTTTCCTGGGCTGCGACAGAGACCTGTATCGCTTTTTGGATAGTTTTCTCACTGGCATAGTAAAATTTGGCAATTTTCTTGGCATGGTTGTGAGGCATGACCTGGTAGCGTGGCTCGCCGTCGCGTACTTCTTCATTACCTATGACGATGGGCACTTCCTCGGTGTTGGATGCGGCGCGTGCAAGTTCTTCCTTGAGCTGCCCGCGCTCCTGACTGCCTTCACGGTAACCGAGAATGGGTTCATTTTGCACACCGAAATTTTCAAGTTTTGGTAATTCGACAATGCTAGACACCGAACGTTCTAGCGAGCGCGCGGTGCGTAGCGCTTTAGTACACACAGTTAACATTTCGTTTGATACGAATTTTCAGAGTTTAGGATGGACAGAAGCGCAGTCTGGCTGCGTGTATCGAGTTACGTAAATAGCAATGGTTTCGGAGATGCCAGCGAAACGAGTTGCTTAGACAACCGATGGAGATTGTTAGTAATTGGCAGCGGCGTCACACGACCTTCACACTGATTCACATTTCGTGACGAAATGAAATGGCACTAACTGAGTATTGCTTGAGAATTTTGTTATTGTATTGATTATTCCGAGTGGATTAGTTTTAAAGATATACATTCAGGGTTTTCGTAGACGTTAACATAAAACGTTTTCAGTTTATCACAGTTTTCCACAAATTATTTAAGAAATTTTGTTTTTACGATGACAGACGTATAGAATAGTATTATTATTTCGTTTCAACAGCTTCGACATTTGATTCGATCGGTCACACAGCTGACTACAATAGAGAAAAACGGTGTGACAATGCATGTACCTACTTCAGTGTTGCAGAGACCATAGATAGATTAAGGTAACTTCCACTGAGGGCGACTTTGTAAGTGATATTTACAAAGTCACCCGTTTTTCTCATTTTGTATATTTAATTGAAATAATGATGCACGAGCTTAGCTAATATTATGTTTAGAGGAAAGCCATAGCAATAACACAGGATTAACGATAGTTGGAAGTTGAAACCAAATATATGTCATTAATGAGTTAGCCTAACTAAGGAATGCAATCTCGTTTTCGCCAGATCTCTACCTTTTTAGAGAGATTGATCTCGACTGAAAAAAATCTCGCGAGTATAGAAATTGCACTTGAGCATAAAAACGTCTTATTCGAATTCTTAAGCGGCAGTCCAAATAACGTGTACGGGGTCAAAATACAAAGTTTAATTAGTGTAAAAACAGTACTTTTGAATTTGCAAGTGCCTTCTCAGCGACTCTTTGACCAACGAAGTAGAAATCCGTTTAGCAGACGATTCTTTAGATATTTTGTGTATTTAAAATAACTCGTAATAATAGCGTGAGGTCAGTTGAACAAATCAATTTAATTGGTATTTTGTTAGTAAATCTTATAAATCTCTGGATAGTTTTCCTTAATTGACAATAATATCTCAATTCATTAGTCAACTCAATTTAGTTATTAAATTTCATTTCAATTTTTGATTTTTTTTTGTTATAAAATAACTGTTTTATTATTAAGTCTTGTGGGATATTAGAATAGAAGTCTGTTGTTTATTTTATTTCTTATTTGATAAAATATATCAAAGTTTACTACTTCAGTTATGCCGCGACTTTACACGCTAAGTCAAATAACGTTTAATACATAAAAGTTTATAGTATAGAATCATTACATTATTACAATTTACGAAATGTTAAGGCGAGCAACTGTTTTATAGAATGGTGAAAAAAGAAAGAAAGAATTTAGAATCCCTAAAAATATAGTACTTTATTAATAAAGTAGTAAACTTTATATTAAGAAAATATATATATTTGTACAAAATTCCGTTTGTTACAATGAACGGCACGTCAACTTTACAAAATTGTGAAATCCCATTTAACTGTAAACCTTAATGTATTGGGAGTTCAAAGTCCATTGCAGAAATTTGACATATGGCGGTAATCTGACGTGCAGCCGTGTGTACATATTTTTTTAAAAAGGGTTTGTGATGGTCGTTTACTTTAAATTAACTTTTTTATGACAATGATTGGACCGGTGGAATAAAACCTACACATCATTGTCTATGGTTTGGCGTTAAAACTAGACAAAAAATCTATGCTACTAACCTGTCTTTGACCTATTTATAAAGCGCATGTGTAGTAAGTAGGTACTCAAATAAAGATGCAAATGTAGCCGTAAGTACTCGTAGCCTACATAAAATTGTGTGTAATATAATGTGTCACTAATGGAAGTTTCTGAATTGAGAAAAGTAGAAAATCTCAACTGATTACTGTGCAAAATTCCTAGTTTTTATGAAACTACTATCAACTGATCATTAAATAAAACTAAATCAGAAACGGAAACTTGTTTTAGTGACGATAAGTACAGTTAGATAAGTATGAGGAAGTATTTAAAAAAATAAAAAATAAAGAAAACACTAAAAAAACACCTCACCAGATGGCGACCCTAGCAAAAATTGATTTTTGCAGGAAACATATGGACCAAAGATAGTCATTTCCGTTCTTTTTAACTAACATATTAAAAAACTGATATTTGCAAAGTTCAAAACTTAGATATCAATACAAATACGAAAAAGTACAAATAGAACATTTATTGGTTTGTTTATTGGGTTTTGAAAATTAATTAATAAGTCTATCCATATTTATAATAAGGTTGAAGGTGTGGTCCCTACTGGATGATGGAGAGAACTGGCGAGGGAGACTAAAGAATAATTGTCTCCCTCCGAGCTACTGGTCAGACGGAAAATTTTTGATCCAATGTTTTTATAAATCATTAAAAATAACAATGATTGTGTTATGTTATTAATTATGTGATTAAGGCGGGCAATATTAATAATGTGCGAGCATTGTAATAATGTCTAGCTCAATCGGGCTAAGTGATTGTTTTCTATCTAAACTTCATTAGTTTTTACATTGTACGATCATTATTAGATTGGTTTATGACAAATGGGCAATTTGTTAATAAAGATAAATTTGACGCGGTGTGGAGAAGGATGAACACATGACACGGTTTACTACAAGATGGTAATCATGCCAAATAATTCATCTGAATGTTGGTTTTTAACAGATAACAAGAGGAATGATCAAATAAAAGAAGTTATTTTGGCCCTGTAGTTGATGTGATAGGTTAGAAATTAAAGACAATTGAATTTCGAGGTTGTTTAATATCCTAACTTTATTGCACTCATTCTCCCCCCTCTCTTTACTCCTTATTAATTTATTTTTTCTAACATTAGTTGTCTGAAAGAAATTGCTGCTAAGCAATAAGGCCGCCATTTGTGTACTGTTTTAAATAGTTTTTTTCGTAATGTATCTTGTTTGAGTTGTACAATAAGTGGCGTAACTACAGGGTGGCAAATCGGCAAAATGCCACCGGCCCCCAGCTTAAACTCGTTTAGGACGACTTTTAGCTGACAAGAAGAACTACCGAAAGAAACCTATCAGCTCTTTATCATAAGTATAGACATTTACAAAAATCATGTCATTACCATAATAGTACGTATTATGACTATAATAAATACAATTGTCAAAGTATGTAGGACATAGGTTGGCGCATATGAATGTTGGTTTTTAACATATACATGATGAGGAAATATTAAAAAAAAAAAAATTAGAAACCTAAATCAAACTAGATGTCACTACGTTACGTTCTTCAATCCGCCATGACAACCTTTCCGGTTTTCTTTCAAGTTTAAAAGTAAATTAGTTTTCAAAATTCAATAAAAAACTCATATTCTATTTGTAATTTTTCGTATTTGTATTGATATCTAAGTTTCGAACTTTTCAAATTTTAGTTTTTTAATATGTTAGTTAAAAGGAACTGGATCACATTGGAGCAACACATTTCGTTTTATTTGAATTGAGCTTTAAATTATTATCAAACCACTGTAGAACATTGTCGAGAGCATCATTTATATCGTCAAAACGATCATTACCCTTCTTAACTTTAAACACTAAAGATCTGCAAATAATACTGTCTCGCACAAATTCTTCGTAAAGTGAGGAAGGTCATTAATTTAAATTAGAAAAAACCATGGTCCTAATACCGATCCCTGTGGTACGTCTATAGTAATGGGTGTCCCTGCAGATTTCGCTTCATTAATTACAACTTTTTGAATTCTAGCAGAAAGATATGATTTTATTAGATTAAGTGAATTTTTCGTCACACTATAATGCTCGAATTTCCCCAACAGTGTTTAATAACATGACTTGATAAACTTTATTTTGTTGTCATTATTAGTTGCGTCAAGTTCTAGTATTTTGCCTGCACGTCAAGTTTCATTGAGCCGGGGCTGGTTAGCGCGTTAGGTTTGCAATGCAAAAGTCAAGCAACTTTCGCAAGGACCAGTCCTAGGATGGACGATTATCTCGATCTCCTTCCCGCCTGAAGCCGCGTTGTTAACTCATACCAACGATACTCCCTGTACAGGCCTGTGTTCCAACATATATTTATAAGCTGGTAAAGGTGGATAATGATGACCGGGAAAGTATTACGAATATTGTGAAAGTGCTGCATCACTCATTCGGCTACACAGTGACTTAAGTAGTTATTTATCATAAAAAAGGCATAATTACAACAAATACATAATGAAAAAGCTTATGGGTTAAAACATTGCGAAGTTTTAAACAGACTTAAAAAAAAAATCATATATTGTGTTGTTAATAAACAAGGTTTAGCGTTGGAGCAAATTTACGCCAGTGCTGCCAACTCTAGAAAATAATTTCTGCTAAATAGGCTTTAAAAAAATGCCAAAAATTAGAGAAACAGAATATTTATTAACAATCTTTATAAAGAAGCATTTATAAATAAATTGCGAAGACCCTCGTCGGTATCCTGAGCCATTGATGTAGCCGGTAGGTATGGAGCAGATGACGTAGATGCATAAGCCTCATTACATTAGTCCCTATTTTTCGCAAAATTTGATCAGGGACCTCATCGATTCTCCTCAACAAAAACTCATTATATTCAAGCGGGATTTATCTAACCAAAGACTACTCTATGACTATAAATCTACGAACACTCTTAGGTTGTGTTCAGACATATTTTTTAAGAAAAAATGAAAAATATCTTTAGATTTTTTACTCTCAGTAAAATGCTAAAAAAATATGCTATATGCTAAACTAAATTTAATTATGCCAAAACACTAGAAAACATGCTAAATTTAGCCATAAAATTGCTAAATTGGCAGCACTGATTTACGCTAAGACTGCACTTAGTATTAGCACAGAATAATACAGTAGCGGAACTTAAGCCACTTGTGGCAATAAATACCTACGCTGCCCTGGACCGTTAGGGTTGCCTTCTTATTAAAAGTATTTGTAACTAAACAATATTGAAATTTTAAAAGATTTTCATTTATGGTGCCTGTATATTGTACTTTAAGTTGCACACTGAAAACTATTTTTGTCTGTTACGACTCGTTGTGAATTATTTATAATTTGGCTGTTCTGATACAGAGTTAATCAAAATGGCG